ATGAACAAACGACAATGCATGTGCAATGTATTGTTTGAAGTCGGGTATGAGAGTGATGATATATCATGCGAATTTGATATAAAAATCATGCAGAGACTGTTACAGGAGAGTTGTGCATGGAAGCACGTAAACCGTCCATACCTTGCAAGCGTCTATTTTGCTTAGAAGCTGTTCTCCTGTGCTCTATTCATTCGTCACAGTCTCCATCGTCCTCTTACTTCTAATTCTGACGGTGTCTCGTCACTCTCACTCTCGATTCTCTCAGATGCGTTATGGTTTCATTATGTTTCCGAAATTTTCTCATTCACTTCAGATGTATCATTCGTTCCATCTCTTTCATAATTCTCTCAAGAAGCTTCAGTTCACTCCTTTCGTCGCCTCACATTTCTAGTAAAATTGAACTTTCAACGGAAGTAATGTGTGGCAAACGATTTGCCACAATACAACACAATTGCTAAACGATGTAGAAAATATTCAGATTTCATTTGAACTTATTCTGTTCGGGTGGTGGAAGATTCGGGCAAATTTGATGTTTTCATCGACTTCATCAATGAAAGCTATAATTAAACTGTGCACATGTGCTCGAGTGCCATCGTTCTCGTCATCACTTCAGTTGTTTTCAAGGTCAATAACATCTTTATCAAGGTATGTCCTTGTCGGATTTGTTTTTATTTTTTGAGTGATTATTTCAGAATGATTCCTACATTGTTGTACATTTTTTTTTGTATAAGTCAGCAATAGAATTTTATCAAAATCGATTTATTTCCAAGAAATATTCAGCATATATTTCATTGAACATGTCCAATTAAAATTCTTTTAATTCACTGATCACATCGCTGTGTTTATTCACCATGAGAAATCTTAAGTATATGAAAATTTCAGCATTCATTCCGAAACGCCATCATCAACCTCAGACTATGCTCAGTCATATGAGCTCAAACTGGAATCCCTCAAACCTAAGGAGACCTTTTTGAAGACGCTGAATGGCAATGAACAAAATCTAATCAAGAAACTTGTCAAGGAATTGGAGGTTTGTGGCTGTATCTTTCAAAATTAAGCAATGCTGAACACCTGACGAACGTAGTTAGTGAATTCCGTATTGAAGCTGTATAAATTATAAAGTGGTTTGTGTTCTTATGGTCTTGTTGTACTCAATTTCACTAAATTTCTAAATTTAGCCCATTTCGGTTTGAAAATTCCCATGTATTTGTTTTGAATCAGAGTGCATTTGATGTGCATTCAATTCAGGTTTATCTATGGATGGCACCATCAGCTCCAGAAGTGATGTCTGATGACGATTGGCGTCGTTTACTTACACAGCCGAGTCTTTCAGAACGAGTTTCATTCCTGCGCTATTTAGCCATCACACAATATCGTGCCAAACAAGATCTGCTCAAGAAGCAAAGCGCTGATGAAGCTTACATTGAATACATCAAGGAACAGGTTAGATTTTATCTATTCCCTGGTGTTTTTCATCCAAGAATATTCATTTCAGTTCAATTGTAATTGTTAATTTGAACGCTATTCTACAATTGTTCGTAAGGAAATGCAATTCGAAATCCCTAATCCTTCATTCCTTGATCCATTAGCACATTGTTGAGGATGTGTGTTGAACAAAGGATACTTTGGATATGATTTGTTTTGAGCAGTTCACTCCGAAAAGGATCAAGTTTTCAATATTGAATTTAGAACATTGAAGAATGAGGAGATTGGTTGATTACTTTCTTACTACTTCTAGTTCCATGATTCTGGGAATGAATCAGAAATAGCAATAATGATAATTCAAACAACTATAATGATAATGATAATTGCAATAATAGTGGTAACACTTCAAATTTTAGCAGCGGCAGTTTGAAAGTGGTGGCATGGGCTATGGTCCTCGAATGTATCAAATAATGATGAACCCACTAAGGAATAAAAAAAGTAATTTTTCCATTGTTTCTCTTGCAGATTCATTTTCGTACTTCTGTGATGTCCGTTGATCTTGTGAAATCACACAGAAATTCAGTTGTTTTCAAATTACTTCATTAGCTGTCATGCAGCAAGCTGGGCATTTCAGATATCCATCTTGTGAATGTAGGTAGAATCAGTCGTTAAAATGAAAGATAACGGCAAACATTTCAAAATCTTATTAGTGCTGCTGAATAATCTATTAAATTTCTGATTGTCATTTCGTCTAAACAATAACATTTTTTTGTTTTTGATTCGGTGAGTTGCTACAAATAGCAATCGAACTTATTCTGATAATCGAAAAAGTTGTGTGCGGAAAGATTGAAATCTGGTT